TGTTGACTGAAAGGTCACAGGTTTGAAGCCAGGGAGCGGCATGGGCTTCCGCTGTCAGCTCCAGCTTCTGCCAAKCTAGCAATTCGAAAACATGCAAATGTGAGTAGATCAATAGGTACTGCTCCGGCGGGAAGGTAACYYCGCTCCATGCAGTCATGCTGGCCATATGACCTTGGAGGTATCTATGGACAATGCTGGCTCTTCGGCTTAGAAATGGAGATGAGCACCACACCCCAGAGTTGGACATGACTGGACTTCATGACAGGGGAAAACCTTTAGTGTATATATATATATATGTGTGTGTGTGTGTGTGTGTGTGTATGTATGTGTATATATATATATATATATATATATATATATATATATATATATAAAACGCATACACACACACATACATATATGCATGCATTTCTTGGAGGCTCACAGGAAACTTGCTTCAAAAATGGCTCCATGGCTGAAAAAGCTTGAGAACCTCTGGGTTAGAGCATTGGACTATTACTTTGGAGACCAGAGTTAGATTCATCACTTGATCATGGAAACCCATTGAGTAACATTGTGGGAGTTACACACCCTCCATCCTGGAAAACTCATTATAGGTTTGGCTTAGGGTCACCTTAAGTCAGAAAGAACTTGAAGGCACACATGAACAGCAAATGCATTCAAGGAAACAGCTTATATGGGTCATTATATCACCCAACTCTTGCAACAGATAGGAGAACTATGTTGGTCTTATGCCTGAAGAGGGTAGGTTGACATGAGGATAAGGCGGAGGGCTGTACTAAAGAGCTCTTCTTCCAGTGACCCTTTTGATGTTCACACTATGCCCTCAGTTCTTTCCACATGGAAGAATGACCTAGGCCCTTTCCACACAACAGTATAAAATCCACACTGAACTGGATTATATGGCAATGTGGACTCGGATAACCTAGTTCAAAGCAGATATTGTGGATTATCTGCCTTGATATTCTGGGTTATATGGCTGTGTGGAAGGGCCCCATGTTAGATAAATGGTAACCTTAAAGGAACTGTCCAAGGTACTGGGCCTGTCTTCTGGTATAGGGTTCAATGTATTTGAGAATTGCTTTAAAATTGCTTAAACTCAAGCATTTATTACACACTTTCTTATCACTTGACTCCCAGTTTGCATTTGCAATTCCAACTGTCTTGCTGAAGAAGGTGTTCAGTATAGCTACAAAGTAGGGCTAAATAAGTTTGCTTCCTGACACAATAAATAGCGATCTCTCTCCAATAGTTACCTTTGCATTTGGAGGGGCGGGGAATGGAGGAATATCATCCATCACATATAAGGGCAGCAACTAGTAAGAGAATCAGGATTGACTGTGTAGATTCACCCACAACCCACACAACCCAGGTGGAAGAGCTTGGGCCAGTCATTGTCATCCCTAAGGTTTTTTGCCCAGGGCAGTTTCCTCACTCTTTTTGAATGATAGGGCCAGCCAACAGGAAAACTACTTACTGGAGCACACCAAGAATTTTAGGTACAAGGGGATAACTGTGTGAGGATTGGTAAATGTGAATAAGCAGAAAAAGTAGAAGCTTTACCACAGTATTTAAACCAAGATATATCCTGCTGTATAATAAAATGTCACTTAGGTTTGTAAAACAAGTAACAGTATCTTTACTTCAAAGGTTCAAACAGGATAACAATGTATACATCAATCTCTTTGCATACAGGCAGGGAACAGAGGAATAAAATAGCCCTTTTAAATAGTCTTTGAAATAAGTCTCATGTCTTAAAATGATCAGTCTTTAAGATAGTTGGCAGCCAGCACTTTCTCTTCACTGCCAAAGTGAGAACAAATGACAGTTAGAACCGTTGGTCTCAGCAGCCAGGCAAAGGCAGCAGCCCCTGGCACACTCAGCCAATCGGCTCCTGACACATCTCTTCTTTTTCAAATCCTAACAAACTGGCGATATGTTTTACTCAAGTAATCTCTTAATTCCTAAGATGGTGTCTTTAAAAAAACCTGATTTGCCCTAAAGGTACATGAGCAAACTTTCACTTGCCTTGCACTTAATCGCACTAGAGAAAAAATCCACTTAAAATCCAGTTTATGCCTCCAGCAGAATTATGAGGTTTGTAGTTTAGGGTGGAGGCTTAAACAGCCTCACTACACTATAAACCCCAGAAATCTGCAGGAGACAGAAACCGGATTTTAAGTGGATTTTTTCTCTAATGTGATGAAGTAATTAGACTGGGTTCCACCCATTGTTTTAAATCCAAATACCTACCAGAATGAAAAGAGGTAGGACAGAACAGGAAATAATACCTCTAAAATAATGCCTGTTATTGACATATAGATCATCTCAAGTTAAAGGAAATATGCTTCCTGTTTCAGGGCTATTGTTATCCATATGCATGTTTGGGCAACCAGAAAAGTAATTAAACAACTCAGCCTCATGTGAACCCATTGTGTTCAGTAGCACTCACTCCTGGCTAAGTCTGCATTTGATTCCAATTCACTAGAACTAATTTTTGAGCAGACACACATAAGGCTACACCAACCTTTAACTAGCTAAATGCCCTGTTTTCATTCAGTATCTAGAAGCCTTCTCTTGGTTAGACACTAGACTTGTTATATACATGAAACTTAAATTGCACTGGAGCTTCTTGTGTGACCCAATTTAGAAAAAAAAGTCACTTCAAGGCCAGTTAGCAGCAGCCGATTTAGACTCCATTAATTCCTCTTCACACTATTTACTTTAGTTTGGATGACTTTAATGCAGAAAAGTGAAAGGGAGGCATTCATAAAATGAAGGAAAATTCCAGCCACTGTAGGTTTTCTAGTCACATTCCTTCTTAACAGGAACACAAGCAGTTTTATTCCTAATAGATGAACGTATGCTTAGTTGGCAGATTCCAATCCATTTGTGTAGGGCAGTGCTTTGCAACCTGTCAGATGTGGTTGGCTTTCTCTCCTTTTTGAAGGAGTTTAGCTAAAAATGTCTCTACACAGTGACTGGGGTCTGTTTTGTGCTCCCCTCTTTTATTGGAAGGCCCCTTGGTAAAGGGACTTCACTGTTGTGGCACCTTGGCTATGGGTTTAAACAGAACTCTGGCTATTATTTATTTATTATTTATTTACCCTATTTATATCGCAACTTCCTCTACCCCGAAGGGGACTGAAGGTAGCTTACAATACAGGCAATTATACAATTCAAAAATATTAAAATAAAAAAATAAAAATTAAGTTAAAATTAATACATAATAGATATTTAAAAACATTCAATTCCATATTAAAATCATGTCTTCCATAACCGTAATCCAAGTTGTTCCATAGTAATTGTACATATTCCATATCTGTTATTGCACTGCACTATTCTCTGGCTATGAGATCAATCAGGGCCAGCTAACACTTCCCAACAAAGGATCCCCAGGTAGCATCCAGTCAGGCTTTGAAGGTGCAAGGCCATTAAATGCTAATCAAGGTGGCCAATTGCAACATTCACACTTGCCTCAAACAGACAAGAGTTCTTCCCCCCACTCCAGACATTCCACAGTTATGTAAACACCACTTGCCTAGTTTCCAACAGACCCCTCAACCTCTGAGAATGCCTGTCATAGATGTGGGTGAAACATCAGAGAGAATGCTTCTGGAACATGGCCACACAGCATGGAACACTCACAACAACCGTATGGGTTTAATTGTTTAGAATTCTTTGATTCTTATATAATGTGTTTTTAGATTATAAATTATCTATTACCATTTTACATCGTTTAAATTGATTTTACTGTATATTGCCCTGACATTCTTGGAGACAGAGCAAGACAGAAGCATTTTAATAACCCAGACTGATTGAAATGTATTTCTGTTCTTTCTGATTTTTAGACAGGATTCAAATAAACTACTTGGGGAGCTAATATGAAAAGTCTCTGATCATACCAGGATCTGACAGAAAATATTCTGTGATAAACGAAATGTGTCTCAATCTCTGAAATAAAATCAGAAAGAACAGAAACCAAATCTGGGGCTTTTTAATCATTCTGGATGTGTATATGTGCCTTTCAGTTGCCTGTTGACTCACGATGATGCTATGAGTTAAGGTCACCATAAGCCAGAAATGCCTTGGGCATACAGCAGCAACAGCAACAGCAACATTTAAATGGGAAATGTTTCTGTGTGGCTTGATTCTGAGTCAGTGATGGAAAGCCATTCATTTCATAAAAAATTTAGTCCAAGTGGATAGGCACAACTCTGTGTAATTGGGAACTCTCCCTGACTGCTTGGCCATGGGGACTTTTGTGATGTCCACTGAAAGGCACCAGTTTCTGTCTGTTCTTGGAAGCTAAGCAAGTTGAGCCCTTGTTTGTACTTAGATGGAAGACTGCTTTTTGTGTGTGTCAGGAGCAACTTGATAAACTGCAAGTCACTTCTGGTGTGAGAGAATTAGCCATCTGCAAGGATGCTGCCTAGGGGATGCCTAGATGTTTGATGTTTTCCCATCCTTGTGGGAGGCTTCTCTCATGTCCTCGCATGGGGAGCTGGAGCTGACAGAGGGAGCTCATCCACACTCTCCCCAGATTCGAATTTCCAACCTGTCAGTCTACAGTCCTGCCGGCACAAGGGTTTAACCCATTGTGCCACCAAGGGCTTCTAATGAATGCCAGGTGCTGTGGGCTACATTTCAGTGGAAGGAACTGGCCAAACCACCTCTGAGTGCTCAATGCTCAAGGAAACCATATGGAAGTAATAGGGTCACCACAAGTCAACAGATGATTTGAAAGCATAGACTCATGTGCTTCATAATTTATTACCCCACCATTGTGTTATTCTCTGTCAATGTGAAATACTTTGACTTGGGGATATGCTAAGTCTGCTGTACATCACCATTTGGGGAGAAAGCAAGTTTATTCAAGAGATAGTGGGAACTGGAGCTCTTTTAAAAAGGAAAAGAAATGGAGATTTGGGATGTGTATGTACAAAACCCTAGTAATATGTATAACCCAGCAGCTGTATGTGTTTTGTTTTTTCATGCAGGGGCTGGCGTGTGACAGGATGGGCAAAGACTTCCGCTACTACTTCCAGCACCCCTGGTCTCGCTTGATTGTGGCCTACCTGGTGATCTTCTTTAACTTTTTAATATTTGCCGAAGATCCAGTTTCGCACAGCCAGACGGAAGCAAATGTCATTGTGGTTGGGAACTGCTTTTCCTTTGTATCAAATAAATATCCCGAGGGAGGAGGTTGGAGGTTTGTAAAAGTATTCCTGTGGCTACTTGCCATCCTCACAGGACTGATAGCTGGCAAGTTCCTCTTCCATCAGCGCTTATTTGGTGAGTCCTTCCATGTCGCTAAAAACTTTTCTCACTCTTTCTCTCTGTGATGTTACCGCTTGATGCTTTCAGAAGGAAAATGCTGCACAGCAAGGCTAATGAGGATGGCAGAATTGGATGTGCTATACAGCAGAGAAGAATCTGCCTTGAAAACAGATGTCTCAGTTAGACCATCAATCTCAATACTTCCCAGCCAAATTTGGTCTTAAAAAACAGCAAAGACAGATCTGTTTAGTCTAATGAGGAGGGCATTAACTTTCCTCACTTAGGATATGCTTCATGACACTTTCTCATTCCAGGTTTGATGTAAGGGTGACAAATTTCTGAAAATCGACAGGTTCTTTTATTATTATTCCCTCTTATGATACAGCATGGTTATTTGAATCCTAGTTTAGATTACAGCTGCCTGAATCCTCTAGTCATGCTGCTGTCGGTTTCTGGAAGTTGTAATCTCCCCACCCCCCCAAAAGGGGTGGGGGGTGGAATTTCAAATAATGTATCACAATATTTTTATTGTAAGGCTACAAAGAAGAAGGCATAGTGGCCCTCACACATTTGCTATATATGCTTTGCTATATATCAGTGGTTCCCAACCTTTTTTTTTTTTTACCAGGGACCACTTTGATCAGGGACCACTCTCCAACATTGGTACCAAAAGGGTTAAAATCAGTTTTTGGTCAACTTTAGATTCAGTTTTGTTATTTGGGGTGCTGATTCAGTACATTGCATTGGGTAGACCACATCGGAACATATGTCGCTAAATAGTTGCCATCAGCTCACCCACAGAAAACCATATTTAACAAGCCTCGCGAGACCAGTTGCTCTCATTGCAATGGTGTAGTAACGGTGAGGCCACGGATCATATTTTAGTTCTGCGGACCACTGATAGTCCACGGACCACAGGTTGGGAACCACTTCTGTATATGAACTTTGGGCCTTATTCATTGAACTGTTTGATGCTCACTTCATATTATCTGGAGAGCAATAGTTTTAAAGAAATTCCTAAATAAAATTACATGTGCTGAAACAGTTTCCAGTGTTGGACAGGATAGAAATACATATTGGCTTTTATAGGTTGATCTGCTGGCTTGTAGTAAGCTAGCAAGGATTTCTGACTTGTAGCTGTTGAGCAAGAGCAAAATGACCTTTCCTGCTTCATTTCCAGTATTTGATTAAACTCAGAATGACCCATTGTGTACTGGAAAAAGTCCTATACCCAAGATATGTGGAGAGACATTCTGGACGTATCTGTATTAGACTATTATAGCAGTTTAATTCCCCTTTTAATGGTCATGGCTCCATCCTATGAAATCTTGGAATTTGTAGTTTGGCAAGGATCTTACTTGTAGGAGATTCCAAATTCCAAATCCTAGCTGGAACCATGACAGTTAAAAGGGAAATTAAACTGCGGTATACAGTATAGGTACTCTATTGCACCCATAGCTGCAAATATTTTTTCACGTATTGATCTTTGGTCTGTAGTGAAAAACAGAGTAGAGCTGGTAAAATTGAAATCTGTCCTGCTTGAAAGCTTATGCCATAATCAATGTATTACTCTTTTAAAATCACAGTAAAGTTATTCTTTTAAGGTGAATGCACTCAGTTCTAAATATAAATCAGACTAATCCAGTTCACACTGTTTCCCCAAATAATAGAAAGCTGGTGAGGTATAGGAGTTTTAGACTAAGGGTCTAGGATGCAGGATCCCTGTATACTGCTTAGCAATTGAAACCCACAGGGTAATCTTGTGGGTGTCATAATGTGTCAGTCCAAGAAGAAGGCAACAGCAGACCTCCTCGGAAGAAATTGTGCTAAGAAAACTCTGTAATAACTTTGTCTTGGGGTTGCCATAAGTCAGAAATGGCACACTACAATAGCAACCAAGTAACTATTGTTTACCCAATAAATTAATTAGAAAACTGCTTGGACTATAACTGTTTAGAGCACTGTTTCTCAACCTGGGGTCAGGGCTCCTGTGGGGGTTGTCAGAGGGGGTTGCTAAAGACCATCAGAAAACACAGTATTTTCTGTTGATCATTGTGTGGGAAATTTGGCCCAATTCTATCATTGGTGGGGTTCAGAATTCTCTTTGATTGTAGGTGAGCTATAAACCCCAGCAATGACAACTCCCAAATATGAAGGTCTATTTTCCCCAAACTCCACCAGTGTTCACATTTGGGCATATTGAATATTCGTGTCAAATTTGGTCCAGATCCTTCATTGTTTGAGTCCACAGTACTCTCTGGATTTAAGTGAACTACAACTCCAGAACTCAAGGTCAATGCCCACCAAAGCCTTCCAGTATTTTCTGTTGGCCATGGGAATTCTTTGTGCCAAGTTTGGTTCAATTCCATCATTGGTGGAGTTCGGAATACTCTTTGATTATAGGTGAACTATAAATCCCAGCAACTACAACTCCCAAATGACAAAATCAATTTTCCCCAACCCCACCAATATTCCAATTGTGCCAGATTTGGTCTAGTGAATGAAAATGAATGAGCACAATTCAAAGTGCTGGTGTTAACCTATAAAGCCCTAAATGACTCCGGCCCTGTTTACCTCTCCGAACGTATTCTCCCCTACGAACCATCAAGACCACTAAGATCGTCTGGAGGGGCCCTGCTCTCGGTCCCTCCGCCTGCACAAGCACGGCTGGTGGGGATGAGGGACAGGGCCTTCTCGATGGTGGCCCCTCGACTTTGGAACTCCCTGCCATTAGAGATCAGAACTGCCCCCTCCCTCATGACGTTCAGGAAACTAACAAAGACCTGGTTGTGGAACGCGGCATTTGACAACTGATTTAATTCTTTGCCCACATGAAAGGAGGATGATGAATGGGATTGTGATGGTGTCGGACGATTTGGCTCTTCTAACTGGGATGATAATGTTTTAATGTGTATGGTGCTGATATTTTAATCGTGTAATGAAGTGGCATTGTGTTGTTATTGTATATTTTTTGTATGTTAACACATCCCTCTTTGAAGGTGAGAGGGTCAGTATATAAAACCTCGAAATAAATAAATAAAATACATCCTGCATATCAGATATTTACATTACAATTCATAACAGTAGCAAAATTCCAGACATGAAGTAGCAACAAAAATAATTTTATTATTGGGGGTCACTACAACATGAGGAACTGAATTAAGGGGTCACAGCATTAGGAAGGTTGAGAACCACTGGTTTAGAGATTGCTAAACACTGAGTAATAAATGAAATAACACCATAGCAAAGAGTATTTGAAAGAATCTGTTAAGCGAATAGTTTAGCATCCATCAGTGACTGGTGGTTTCTGTGTCAGTGGATGACAAATCTACTCCAGGTTGTAGTCCAAACATTACATGCATTTTCCAAACTGCTTACTCCTTTATACCAAATAGGACCAGCATCCTGGAGAGCTCCTTTAAAATTCAACTGAAAGAGAGGTGGAAGGCAGAGTCTCCACCCCAGTGATAAGGCACCCACCATGTGCCGGTGGCAACATCCTGAGCTTCACGCTATATTGCCAGAGCTAAATGTAGAAACAGCAAATGGCATCTCCTCCTCCTCCCTGTCAAGCTGTATAATATCCATGACCAAGTTATAATAGTCTCCAGGGCAGAAAACCTCAGAAGCCCTTTTCTCTCTTCCGGGCTTGAAGAATGCAAAAGTAATAAACCGAACTCACATATCTGCAGTCTTTTCATGATGCCCTAAATGAGATCCTGAGACAGCCACCTCACTCTGCCTAATGGTAGAGATAAATAAATTCCTCTTTCTTGGCTTCCTGTTCAGCATGGCAGTTAAACAAGAAGTATGGAGGTGGAGACATATCCCTAAGAGAACATAAGTATCTTTTTGTCTCTGTCACCACTCTTGGTGGGAAGCAGACTGGAAAAATCCTCTTCCAAATCACCACTTAGCTAGAAGGCTTGTTGCCTGATTTTGTGTTCACCCATTCCTTCAGCCTGGCCTGGTTATGTGAGGATTAAATCAGAGAAGGGGACTATCAGTGCTTTCCTTCTTGGAATTAGGATGAGATTTTTAAAAAAATTAAAGTATGTTGCCTAACTTCACTTATGGTCATATCAAAAGTAGACTCAATGAATCGGATTTGCACAAATGTTGACTTACATTCAGCACCAGAGCTTTTTATCCAATTGAGACTGGCAATTAGGCTTTGACTTGTACTAGGCTTTACTATCAATTTAGACTTCTACTCGATGCTGTTGTTGTGTGCCTTTGAGTTGTTTCTGACCCAAGTCAACCCCATCACAACAGTTTCTTGGCAAGATTTGTTCAGAAGAGGTTTGGCATTGCCTTCCTCTGAGGCTGACAGAGTGTGACTTGCCTAAATTCAATCCATGAGTTTCATGGCTGAGCAGGGATTTGAACCCTGATCATCTCCAGAGTCCAGTGTACAAACCACCATATCACACTGGCTAATAATTCCTGATTATTAGCAGTAAGCCAAACCAGTATGCTTATGATCAATATATTCAATATAATGTGTAATATATTGTCTTTTCATGTACTAAAATGTGCCAATATATGGTAAAATCCTGTTCATTATAAAACTGATGAATCATTTAGTCCCAAAAATGTTTTGGGCTACAACTTCTATAATATCTAACCTTTGGCTATAGCTTTTGTGGACTAAAGTCTAGCTCATGTAGAGAATCAAATGTTTTTCCAATTTGAATTATGGAATGGTTTCATATATACAATTGTACATTGTTCTTTTATCATAAATGTTCCGGTGATATGACATGATCAGAATAGTTCTAGTTTGCGACATAAAGAAAGATTACTAATGCTGATGAGAATATCTTATGCTCCAAGTATCCCTCGTACTAATGTCTGCTTGTTGAGCTGAAAATTTGCATAATTTTCTCAGAACAGGCACTGGCAGACGTGCATTCAGGCTATGTTAATCCTCCCCAAACACTTTGTTGCCTTGTTCTTTTTCAAGTGATATATGAATATCTTCCAGAGAATCCAGAGATAGCTGAGTACACTGG